CAGAAAGATATCTTGATGAAAAAAAAATATTTTCATTTCAATACTCGCTTTTTTCAGAGGGCTATCTTTATCTACGGAAGTTAAAAAAATTTTTTTCGTCTCAACAAAATGTAACGTGCAGTCTAAAAGATAACATTTTTCGTAGACAGTCATATACAAAATTCAACAAATCTTCGTTAAGTCAAGCGAATCTTAAAGCAACAAGGATTTGACAAACTTAATGCTGTATACTTTTTTTGTAAAAAAAAAAAGTTATGTTTACTATGTTATTTTTGAACATTGTTTTTTTAATGTCTCTCTAAATTTGGCTGTTATGTTGTCCAATAATAACAATGTTACATAATATGGACACTAAATGGTGTACAAAGTGGAAATCTCAAAGGGAAAATACTCAGAGAATATTTTCTTCACGCTCCTTGAAAGACCGAATATAATGTTATTTTGTAATTCAATGTTATTTCACTTATTAAAAAACTGTCATGCAACTGACGGTCAAACGTGGGTATACAAAAGTTGTCTCGGCAATGACGTAAAATATTTAAAAAAAGGACGTCGTTGATTACTTTCTTGTAACGGCCGTTTTGGCGCGTGCTGCGTGTCTTCGGGGCGGGGGAGGTGTACCGCGGATTCAGCGGACCGCGAAGAAGAAAAAGGAGTCGAGGCTCGCGCCCATCAGAGAAGTACACCGCCGTACTCTGTACCAACGGCCGTAACGAAGCGGCTGCGATCCGTGACGTCAACCCTAGACTTCGATATCTTATCTTCCGGAGACCGTTAAAAAAATACACCGCCACTACTTCCCACTCTTGACAGACTACTAACTTCTACACGAGCGCGCGTGCCGTTAACGGGACGGCCACACGTTCGTCAACTCAACGCCGTCTTCTTCACCCGTCACACACAGCCCGTCCGTCCCAACGTCGCAACACCGACGTCTTCATTCCGTTATCACTACTAATAACTCGAGCAAAGGCTTAACGGACACGCGTTTTTAATTTCTGTGAGTGTTTCGCGAGTATCGTTCGTTTGTGTCGAGTGTTCGAAAGTTAGCTGTGAAATATTCATAATTAAAGAACACCAACATTATTAAAAACAAAGTTTTATCATAACTTGACATTTGGTAAGTTTTTTTTCTTAAACTGTATATAAGTCAGTGATAGACAATTTTAAATCAATGCCAATTTCAACACTAAAACATCATCAGTTACAATTTTTTCATTTAATGATTGAATATTAAGTAACGTGGATATAATTGGCAGTATATCGCACTAAATGCGGATTTGCTACGTACTCGTAGTTTTAATACATTTTTGTTCAGGACTTAGTAAAATTAAAAACTACATTAATAATAAACAAATAATTTTATTGAATACACAGATCTATATAAACGCAATAAAATCCAAAATTTATCTTGAAAATTATTGCGCGTTAGTTAAAGTTTATTTTTAAACAATAATATTTTAAGTATTCTAATTAGCAACAAAAAACATTTTATCCTGTCAATAATCATCAGTAATTAAGATATAAGATAAAATACTTACATTTTATAAAGAATTTTAAATAGGAATACCGTAGAAAAATAGTTGAAATTTACGCTGACATAATGGAGAAACAATAGTTTCTTCCGGTCGGTAACGACGCAAGTTATAATTTCAATAACATTGACGAAAACCGACAAGTAGTATCGGATATCACATTACAAGATTAGAAGGGGTAACTTAGACTCAGATGTGGAGTTGGTTGTTTTCAAAATTCAGACAGTTATGTTACGCCGAACAAGTTTGTATGTGGCATCATGAATTGCATCAGAGACACTTATTTGCCTAACACTTTCCCCTTGTAATAACAAATAGAACAAATACGACACGTTTCAATAGCAATAAATTAATACGATAAATTAAATACTCATAAATGCCATATTAAAAATAAACTACATTCTATAAATAAAATGCGGTACAATGATTGTGTCAAAAAACAAATAAAAAAATAAAATCAGCATTTAATTCAAATTTGCATTTATTATAAATCATTCAAAAGTTTACTTTATAAAACTCAATTTTGATGTAATCAATAAAATATTTTGCATTACTTGCTAAACTGCCATATTTGATTGTTTCACTAGCAAAGGGATTTTGATCATTGAGTTTATCAGTATAGATTATAACACTATTAAGTTTAGATGATTACAAGCCTAGTTCAAACTTATTTTTATGTAAATTTGAATATCAAATAAGAATCCAAACTTTTTTAAATTCAATAGCAACACTCCACTAAATTTACTATTTTTAAACAAATTAAATATATATATTTAATTTGTTAATTATATTGATATAATAATATTCAAGTATTAACATTATAAATATTTTCCTGGTGTAATAAAATTCTCTTTTCGGCATTTGATTTATTGTATTTTTTTGAGTTAAGAATCTTAAAAATAAAATTAACTATAACGAGAACAATTATTATTTGTAATATCTAAAGCTTATATATTATATAATCATGATTTTTTTAATTTCAACAACATTTTTCAAACTATTGAAAAAAAGTGTAATAGCCACAAAGACCCGACTGACGAAAATTTTTAATTTTTAATGAATTTATTTAAAACGGCAATTTTATATTTGAGAATAATTTCAATCAGACTAATTGAATGTTTATTTTATAATGAATTTTGAAGTTATACTTTTGTGAATTGCGTTTTAGTAAGTTCACTGAATAAGTAAGAACATCTAAAATTATTTATAATACCATCAAGATTTTCATAGCTAATTGACAACATTGCAGAGAAAAATAATTTAAAAATGTAAAAAAACTATATGCAAATCAGTATGCTCTTATTATTTTTCATAATTTAATAATCAAATATATTTTTAAAGAATAATATGAATTATAAATGTTATGTAGCTTACCTTGTATAATTTTCCTAAACTTAAATACAAAATAAAATTTTCCAATAGTAAAATATTTAATATTTTACATAAATTTTATTATTAAAGTACAAAAATCTTGCTATTATATAAATATTATGAGAAAATTTATACAAACAAAAAATTATACTTTATAATTTTTAGTAATAATAATAAAAAACTTTAAACTATATCGTAAAAATTTATCAAATTGTTATAAATTCATAACATCTATACTCTGGCATAAAAAAAATATTTTGAAGTCAACTTTAATGTAATAATATTAAAATAATCAAAAACTGCTTTATAGTAAAAATGAAAATATTAGATGTTCAATATTGTTTCATTTCACTTATGTACTCGTTTAAAAAATAATAAATAAAAATGTTGACTTCTTTTAAAATTGATTTACTATCATGTTGAAAAAAAAATTCAAATTACAATAGACAATTGACCTTCACTTTTTTTTTAATAGGTATCCTTAAAAAAATATTACAATTTAAAATTTTAACAGTACAATTACTTTATTAACTTTCTGTTAGCAGATAAGATGTTTCAAGTAGATTTAAAAGATCCCAAGCCATTTAATTTTCGAATATGATTCGTAAAGCCTGTTCAATATGAATTCTATTTTTTTAGCTTATTTTTGTAGAATAAAAATTTTGGTAATCGTTTCATTAGAAACATGAAAAGAATTCGACCTATTTTTGAAATTATAGATTTTTTTAATTCCTGGATCGTTTGATTAGGAAATTTTTTCTTACAATAAAAAATATTTTATTTTTATTTATATTTTTATAAGGTTTTTTCATTTTTATTTAAAATACTTCATTATATTGAACAAACATGCTTCCGATTAAAGCAACTAAAAAAAAACTTATTATTTAATAAATATTTTATTACGTTTAATATTTTCAACATTTTTAATTACCGAATAATTTTTATTTATGTTATGCAATATCATTTTGTACAAAAGTTTTAATTTTATAAATATAATTCATTTTTTAAAGTTAGTATAATTATTGAACTATATCAACTTTATTATAAAAATAATTCATTGGCCAAAACACATTTTAATAGTATTAAATAAATCATGGAAGAAAAATAATTTATAAATAAAATCGTATTGCAATATTCCAGTAAGTCAATTATTTTATTTTAAAGGATCTTTTTCGTTTCTCTTTAAAGGTTTTTCTTAGTTTTTATATATTTTTATTCAGCGTTTTGGACTTACCGTTGACTATAAATTTTACATAGAGAAATTTAATGATCAAATTAAATCAATTTTGTACAATTTTTTTTTTTATCAACAATTTTGTAAAATAAATCTGTTATATATCCTAAAGGAAAAGGATTTATTGTTGTTCTTCAAATATTTCTATTTAAATAAAACTTCATTGGAATTTAAAATTTTATTCTTGCTAAAATTCACATATTAGTTATCAGAAAAGAGCCACAAAAATATTTTGTTTTATTCAAATGATTATATTTTTATTGAATTTTTGAAAATTGTTTGCACAAGTATTAATATGATTAGCATAACAACTAAACTCAAATGTGTACTACATGAAATCACTATATGAAATATTTATTTCGTTTGTCATTGTATATCGTTAATTGTATTAGCACCATAATATAACATAGTCATGAAAGAACATTTTTAAGCGTCTTGGAATATTTCATAGATTCTTTGCTTTTATGCACACCCGAACGAAAAATATAAAGAACCAAATGAGTTTTTTGTGTTAATGAAATATGATAAAAATTGTTCACAATAAAGATTCTGTGAATAAGCAATCGGAAAACGACGTTCTTTTAATAGCCCGTCATTGTTTGTCGAAGACTTAGCAACGCACTCCTCGTGGTCAACAACTGAAACGCTATCCTCCCCAAATGGGCTGTGATCACTGTTCTGCGTCGATGGCAACTACCCCTGGCCAGCAGATAGCAACACGCGCGTTCCTTGTGCGGTGTTTTTTTTTTCTTGGGCGGCTTTTTTCTGCAACGCGCCTGTCCGGAAAGTTGTGACGGGTAAAGCCCTCCGCGTGTCTTGTCGCCAAGCGCCCAAGTCGCGGACATCGCACTGAAAGTCTTAAGTACCGCCACGGCAGTCACTCGGTCCGCGAACGTAATGCCGGCACATCGTCGTCTTCTCGTACTCACGTGAAAATACGTACGCGTTCCTCACCGTCGACATCACGTTGCGTTCACCATCACCGTCGTCTAAGTGTTGTTGATTATTTTTCATAAACAAACAGTAAGTGTGATCACTGTTCATTTTTTTTTTTTTAACCACCAATGAAATAATAGCTTTAGAATATTTTCAAGTTTTCTTTTTTTTTTTTATTCAGACGTTTAGGTGTCTTCTTTTTTTCATTTTATAGTGGTAAACAAAATTGAAAAAGTTTTTTTTTTTTTAGTTTAATTTTTGTGGAAAACCAAGTTTTATATTAATATCAATCGACTAAATGATTAAACAAAATACTAGCGATATAATTTTTAGAATATTTTTTTATACATAAAATTGTCCCTGTGACACGCGCTAAAATAACTTACGTCTTCTTTTATAAAAATAAAATAACAATAGAAGAGGGTAAAAACCGGTTATTTTTTTTATACTATCATCATAAATAATAATGTCCTATCTAGATAACTTTTCAATAATTGTTTAAAAAAAAATTAATTTTTATTTTATTTGTTTTTAAACTTAGGTAAAATGATTAAGATAAACATTGAACAAATTTCGAGTTTTTAAACATTTTTTATAATCACAATATATTTTAACTTTTATAAAAACGTTCAATGTGTTTTTAAATATCATGTATATAATTTTATTTAGTTTTCTTTGAATTTGCGTATTTACATATCACTTTTGAATAATATCAAACAATAAAATTATTTTATAATACTCAGATTTAATTAAAAAAAATTTTACTGCTAAATTTCAATTACTTCCATCTAATATATTATTTTGGATTTATAACTTATGTCCTTTTAATTCACGTACATTTTCAATACAGTATTTTTAATTTTATTTTTCCACCCTTCATAAATTAATAAATTCTATTTCTACAAAAGTTGGAAAATATAAATAAATCTACTTTCTCATCTTTTTTTTTTTTTTTTATGTAGTGTTAAATATAAACTCTTACATTTCTCTAATGTAGTATCTTGAAATTTAGTTAAATAAGAAATTATTCGTATATATTTTATCATTTAATAAATAACACGAGTAGATAATTATTTATTTTCTAATGGTTGCATAAAAAAAGTACATTGGATAATATAATTTTTAACATTAATATTTAGAATCTTTTTTACCTCTTACGCTTACTTACTATTCAACTCCGTGTTCATTGATATTTAACTTTTAATACTTTTTTAATATAATCTTCATATCTAAATGCAATCGCTTTTCATTACATGATATTTTTTTAAATTATTTATAAGTTACTTGAACATTTGTTTGATTAAAATAACTTTTAAAAGCTTACAATTAATCTTGGTTTTTAATTAAATTTTCAAAATAGTCCAATGACCACTTAATGAGACGAATGTTTCCCTAAGGATAATTTCACCGGTCCGGCCAATATTATTTAAATACTCATAGCGCTCTCTGGGGTGGTATCGATAAGTTTTAAAGTGAGGAAATTAAAATTATTTGAAAAAAAAAACACAAATAATAGCTGTAAAGTTTTAAACCACATTTAAATAAAATACTATTTGATTTCTAAAGTTTTGGTTAACAAAGTTATTCAATTGCCAATTATGTAGTCATTTTAATATAACTAGGAGTTTTTGTCCTTTTCTCCAGTAGATGTCGGGACACAAAGTTAATCAGTGTTTCGATAATACTTCAGTAGTTTTAATTATCACAGGTATTTTTTTTATGATAATTTTAGGAAAAAACTTTTTGCGATTAAGTAGAAATTATTTTTATATTTATCGTTTAATTTACTGATTTTTTTTAGTTGCTGCATACAAATAGTTATTTTTTTTAAAACTAAATATTCTTAAATAATGAGTAATATATCTTCTACAAATCTGTTTTTATTCGAAAAGTTTTTCGATAAATGCATGGCATATCCAATTAGTATTTCTTTAAATAACATTATTAATTCAACTCACTATTTTATTCGGATAATTACATAATAGTCTGTCGTATCGATTATACAGTTGTCGACCAAAATCTCTTAGGGTTAATAAAAGTGTGATTATGTAATGTAACAAATACTTATTCTATTACAGATGTATTTCAATTTAATTTAAAAAATAGCCTCTAAAAATAATCATTATTAAAGCAAGCTTATTTATTTATGAAATATGATGTAATATATAAAATATCTATTTATTTATATGTATAATATAATAATTGAAAATTTTTGTGTTGACCCTAACTTTAAATTCATCCAATCATATTTATTATGATTGCAGTAAATATATAATTCATAATTCATGAAATGTTTAATATTTTCTGAAAAGAATATTAATTAAATAATTCTTTTTACGAGACATATTATTATCTAAATATTTATATATTTCAGCAAGCTTAAAAAAACATTATACTAAGTACACGCCAAATCAATCAAATATTAGTTATGACGACATTTTTTTATTTATGCAATTTGATTAACCTCAACTATACCAAACAGTGTTACAATAATACTTGTAATATTATTGATAGATTTACTTTTAATTGTGCGGTAAAACATGTTCTGCAAGTAGTGTGACTACTCCCCGTTATTATTAGCGGCATCGTCATAGACCGTTTGGGGCGAATGCGATTCTCGAGGACTACTGTTCACTCATTAAAAATACGGGTCTCGTTGTATATTGCACAACACTAGTCCCGCATCTTTAAAGAAAAAAAAATGATATTACATATCGAAAAGACCACTCAAAAGATTATAAAAAATTCTTTTACCCCATACACTTACGCACTATAACCCTCGATTAATTTTTTCAAAGACACAAACGATAGTTTCTTAAAAATGTTCGGCACCCGCTGTGTTGGTATTGCACAAAAGCTCATTGACAAAACAGTTTTTAAAAACCGATGCGTAAAAAACTATTACCGTGTTGTGTTCATAAACGTTTTGATTTCTTGAAATATTTAATTAATTTATTTTAATATTCGTCGGTTAATTGGTGATAACCCGTTGCATACACTGCGAGGGTTATAACGTCCGCATCCACCGAAGGTACGCGCCTAAATGTGTATATTATGTTGTATGTCGATATTTCGTACGGCTTTTGGGAGGTGCGAAGAAAAGCGTTGCATTTATTTTCTAAGACGCACACCACTCGGAAGACGACGGCCACTGACCAATAAGAACGTGGGCGGAGACGGGCGGTCGAACAAAACAAGGGAAGTCGTTAAAGTACACGGAAATTTCCGTACGCCAATCGCGCCCTTCCTATTACCCTCCCCTCAACCCGTCCCATCTACCATTTCCTCGTACGACTTTCTTCTTCCCTCGTGTAAGTCCTACAACGAATACCGTTGTATCTAATGTTATTATTACGGTGGTGTAAACTCACCGTATACGCCGTATCCTGTTCCCCGCACACACGACCTGGGTGTTTAATTATTTGCCTGTACGACATTATTTCAGGGACTCCCTTCGGACGTTCCGTATACAAGTGTCTTTCATTGTTTTCTCCTTGTGCCTACTGTTATTGTAGTACTACTATCTATTAACTCTTATGACGGGGTCGGATGCATAAGAAACTATACAATACAATTCACGATGACATCACTATCTCGGTGTTTTAATTATGTCCAAAGGATTGTAATTCGGAATTAATAGCGATATATTTTTTATCGACTTAAATTAAATGAACACATTTTTAAAAAAAATGTATGTATGTACAGTATAATTTCATATAAAATAAAGTTTTAATTACACATGAGATCTCTTTGAACAAAAATTAATAAATACTTCTTAGTTAGTTCTTATTTGGTATAAAATGACTCTGTATAAAATTGATTTAAATCAATCATTTTATTTAATAAAAAGAAAATTCCAAAGAATATTATTCCGTGAAATATATTGTCAATCACTTATATACACTGTAAGAAATTATTCAAAATTCCCATTAGTCAGTGTGATATTTTTGATATACACGTTAATTTTAAACACACGTCGTTCAATTTTGACAAGAAGTATCGAAAATTGTATACAAATATAATATTTCTATGACTGTTTATCAAAATTTTTCTTTACATCACATGCGTTAAAAACTTCACGTACATGTAGTGAAAATTCGGATATTTTTTTTTTTAAGAGTGAAATATAATTTCTAAGCAAACGACGTCATTAAAACAAAAAATACTATTAAACGAGTTTTATTTTTAAATAACTTTTAATTATTTCAGAAAATCATATTATTATGTTTTACATTTCATTGTGGTAGAAAATTAGCTCGCTCATTATTTTCTGTAATATTTTAAGTGTAAAGTATTATTATTTACATATTACATTTCGAGAAAAAATCATGAAAATTTAAATAAGAAAATATAATATGACCTGTTTACGCTTGAATCATAATATGTTTTAATTGCCGGAGAATAAGCTTAACAGCGTTATAAGCATTCTCGATTACTTTTTGTTTCTTTTATTTAACAATTTTTTACGCCGAGATGAAATCTTTTTCACAAGAAAGAAGACAATACCACCAATACCCTCCGGTGTTTATTAGAGTTTGAACTAAATCGTAGATGCATATTGTAGAAAGACGAGTATTAATCTGAATAGAGAAAGAAAGAAAACAAAAAAGGTTTTATTTCAACACGAAGGCATTATTAATACACCTCTCGACACTATGCCCTTGCTTTACAAAATCATATAGGCCACGTCGAAGAGATGAAATCTTTGATGCGAATTTTTTTTTTATCCAGTCATTTTTTTGCTCTGCTGTGTACCATCCTTCAGCACGGTAAGACAAAAGAATATAGGACCAGACGTAGACGACAGCGTATCGATATCTGACGTGTGGTGAGGCGGCGACGGTTACAAGAGTAAATGAGAAGAAGTGGGCAAAAGTAGGCAGACAACGTTAAGAGGTCTACAGAACGCGACGGTAGCCGCGACGACGACGACGACGACGATCCTTAAGAGTAGTTATGTGCATGCGTGGTAATGCAAAAAAAATCAACCCTTACGCCCACCCCCTACACAGCAACTGTGATGAATTCATGTGATGCCTACTCGACAATGTTTTTTTTTTTAAGAAGTACCCCGGAACTTAACACAA